AACCCGGTTTCTAGCGTTGTAAGTCCGCAGATATACCGCTGTGCCACTGGGGGACATTTTTGAAGTGATAGACTACAGGAAAAACAGCTAGTCAACACTACCCACTGTCAACTCTTGGACTACTGCTTACAAACAAAGAGTGGGACTGAGTTTCATATTATAACGTCCCCACAGCTGAAATGGCGAGGATGTTCAATGGCAGGATTCAAACACGAGACACGCAGATTGCGAGTCAAATTGTGCTCTAACCACCAGACCATGCCAGACACGTGATTATACACATCCATATTAGAAACTATTGTTCTGGCCGGACAACCTTCTTTACGTGTTTCAGGAAGTTTACATCAAATATAAGGATGATCTTATCTTTAAATATTATTGTTGGGTAATTATTTTGTCTTTTAAGTTGTAATATATAACAGTAGAATTGTGTTTCCTTAGTCTTTGTAGGAATCTTTTCTTTATTTTAATGTTATCATTGAAAATATTATTTATGTTACAAATGTTCTATTGCCTTTTAACATGTTTTAATATAATAATTTATAATTTTCCCCCCATGATCTTTACTGCTAAAATTATTCTTTATTAAGATTATATGATCCATACTTAAAGCATTGAAACTTGTAGTAATTCTTCAAACAAACAACTTACGTTTTAGAGAAGGAATCGTAATTTTTAAATTTTGAGCTAACATTTGTTTTCTATTTCAGTTAAAACATAATTCGTTTTATCAAATATCACATCATCTGGATAATTAACAAAAGTATTGTTTATCTGACCTTTTGTTGTTCTGTTAAATTCACATATATGTTTTTGCTAGTTTTAAGTAATTGCTTATTATTTTGGGTATTACTAAAGTTAATTACATGTGTATAATAAATATAATTCACTTTTTAAACTCTTAAGTGTCCTCTACAAATTGTTTTTCAAAATTGTACTTAATTTATATTCCTGTTTAAGTTCCAAGTTTAATATTTGTTTTTAATATTGTAATATTGTGTAGATCAACAGAAATTATTCATTGCTGTTTAGAATTACCAAATTTAGGTGTAACTTCATTAATTTCAAATAAATCAAACATTTTTGATATAACTGATTTTTGTAGAATTTTAAGTGTAATATTTTTGTTTTCCCTTAATACAAGAATATTTTTATTAATAATTGTAACAATGGATGTATGTACAAAATATATGTACAGTAAGAAATTTTATGATCCAATAAATGACATCACACATTAAGATGAGATAACTTTAGATAGAATTAAATATTAATATTTCATATTTCTCATATGTTCATAATTAAATTAAGTAAAACTCTTACAAAATCTACCCCTATTTTTGTGTCGAATATCTAATTTCATAATTTTTGAGGATAATTTAGTGTAGGATAGAGGAACGCCAAATCTGTAATAAACTAAAAAACAACAACTACTGAAATTAATAAATAGCGGGAAAATAACATAAAACAAGCAAATTGTATTATATTTATATTAATTAGAATTTCAAAATTTACATAAATAAGGGCGATATCAGTAACGTGTTTCACCTCGTCCCATATTCTCCTTAATCCTTTCCTTCACGAGAAGCAGAGAAATGTGCAGGCAACAGGTGGAGTTTAATGGATGTTTATTTGATTCAGTTCTTCACTGTTAAGCTCATTATAATCGTTTAGTTATGATTATCATAATATTCATAACATATATAGTTATGGGGAATGCACTACAATTTACAATTTATGTGTTTAGTGCCAAACAAATGACTATACACTTAGTATTAAATTTCAAATATTCTGTTTAAAAATAAAACAAACACTCTTAACACACGCATACACACTAGATTAGCCATCACAACTCTGACAACATACTAGGGACAGTCAGCACATCTCTGACTCACACTCTAGGGACAGTCATCACAACTCTGACAACATACTAGGGACAGTCAGCACATCTCTGACTCACACTCTAGGGACAGTCATCACAACTCTGACACACACACTAGGAACATTCATTCCAACTTTGACACACATATTAGGGACAGCCATCACAACCCTGACAACATACCAGGGACAGTCAGCACAACTCTGATCCACACTCTAGGAACAGCCATCACAGCTGTGACACACACTCACTTGGAACAGCTATCACAACTCTGTCACACATTAGAGACATTCATTTCAACTCAGAGACGCGTCCACTAGGGACAGTTATACCAACTCTGACGCATCCGCTAGGGACAGTCATCACAAATCGGGAATAATTTCTGTATTTACTCACAACTTCTTCTTGAAGGAAGCAATGCATAGCCTGTGTGACGTCTGCTGCATGAACTGAGTTATGGTAAGGATTATCGACGTGGTAACTCGATTCGATAAGATCTAAAACGTAAAACAAAATATTATGTATTTTATTCATCAAAATAATCTTATATTTATCTGATGTATATTAAAACAAAGTTTCAGTTCACAATTCCTTAGCTTTCTGTGTGTCTTCTATGATTTGAACCAGTAACTATAGGGAACTAATGAGATGTTTCTCAGTATTTTCTGACGTGTCACTACTTTAGCTAATAAAACTTCAGCACCTTAAATAATTAAGGTAACTTTAAACGGAATTTATCATTAAAATATATCCTTATCGTTAATAAATGTTATAAAGAACAAATGTGCACGTAGAGTGAGGCCCACTCAACACGCTTTTAATTGAAGGCTCAAGAATCACGAAGTGGTTGAATCTACTTGTTAATTGTCGTTTGAAAGCTTTACAAGTTATCATTATTTTATCCAGCAGTAATCGACGTTTCTTTATATGGCTTATCTTGGTTTGTTTTATACTTTCGCACAAAGCTACGCAAGCGGCTATTTGAACTTAGCAGTCCCTAATTTTGAGCTGAGAGACTAGAGGACAAGAAACTATTCAAGGATACTACCGCCAACTCTTGGTTACTCTTATCAGACCTAACAGTGGCATTAGACCATCATTCTTATGGTGTACCCAGGGTCCAAAATGCGGAGCGCGTTTTTGCAAGAACTCGATATATAAATATATATATATATTTGGTAAACCATAATAAAAGATATAAAAGAATAATTTTATTCGGAAAAGTTAAGTGCACGTACTTTTCCGAATAAGGAGAGTAAAACATTACACTTGTCAAATTCACTTGGCTGTGGTATCAAAATAATTGTCAATATTATTTCTGTACTTACATTTTTTCTGGTAAGTTTAAAAACTTTACAATTTATTGTTGCCACGTGCATTTTTAGTATGGTGAGGTAATAAATTTCTGATATGTAAACAAATTCACAGGCAAAAAAAGGTGATTTCAAGCAAGAAGTTGTGGTTTTAATTATAAGGAACCTAAGGCGGCGTTGATTCATTGGGTTTACCTAATTAATCGCTGTTAAGATAATGATAAACTTATTCAAATACGAACGATAGGTGCTTTCATAGATGTGGGTCTTCACTTCAAATTTTCATACAATAAATTATTGAAATTACATCAAAGAAGAAAGTTTTGAGCATTTAATGATCTGCTTGAGAGGTTAAATTTTATATTGTTTAAAAGGCTAGGATGCAAGGAATCTTATCAGCCGGTCCTCAATATATACCAAGAACATGTAGAACATAGCTTACATTGTTTAAAAGGCTAGGATGCAAGGAATCTTATCAGGCGGTCCTCAATATATACCAAGAACGTGTAGAACATAGTTTACATTGTTTAAAAGGCTAGGATGCAAGGAATTTTACCAGTCGGTCCTCAGTATATATCAAGAACGTGTAGAACATAGCTTACATTGTTTAAAAGGCTAGGATGCAAGGAATCTTACCAGTCGGTCCTCAGTATATACCAAGAACGTGTAGAACATAGCTTACATTGTTTAAAAGTCGAGGATTCAAGCAATCACATTAGCCGGTCCTCAGTATATATATATATCAAGAACATGTAGTTATATAGTCACATGAATGAAAGGGTTGGGTATGTTGCTATGACATCCTATACGTGCTTAAGCGTTTTCTTGGCCCACGTTATGAACAAATCCACTAAATTCCCTTCTTGCCTAGAAGTATACTGTCATTAAACTACTATTAACGAACGAGGACTGCTTTGTGTGGTAAGAAAGAATGGCTCTGTAAAATGAATAAAGTTTAACTGTTAAAATATAAGTGTTTGTTTCACATGTCTGTATGACAGGCCTACCAAAAATTCACATCTTAATAAATATGTATATGCAGTATAAGAAATTTTAGTCGATTTTATTATAAAAAATAACAATAATAGCTGAATGCAATATAAATATAGAGTCAATCGTGTCTTATGGACAGCGTATATTTCACTTTTTTTCTGGTTTATTCTTGTAAGAGGAATGATAGAATTTTTAGGAATTTCTATGCAACGTATTAACACAAGCATGGAAGTTTACTCTGAGTAAAGTTACATGCCAGAGATAAGTTCTGGAGAGGAAAGTCGATACTACGTTATTTAGACTCTTCTCAGACAGAGAAAATTTGAAGATAATGAGTACGTAACGATATTGATTTGGTTTCATACTGTCACCTCAAGCGCGTAAGTTAATGACGTCTTTAGTTGACTTTCTGGGAGCATTCGTAGTCATAAGTTAATGGATTTCATTCTTTTACTGTCAGTTTATAAATAAACAATTCTCCCAGTGACAGTTTGTTTTTTAGATACACAGGAAAAAACATGTTTTAATATCTCATTATTAATCTGAAACTTGAAACTGGCAAAATCTAGGAAGATTTAAAGGGAATTCCCTTTCTTCATGGAGGTAAATATGTCGAAACTCACACGTGGGAAGAGGTTGAAACAAAGGATTATACAGTGGGTCCTGTAGATGTGTAAGGAGTTAATACTATGTTGTCGTCAAGATGGTATTTTCCTATATTAGCAGTTGTTTTAAACAAGAGTGGGTGAGTTGAAAGGAGTTGATTAGTTACAAATAGTTCTTACAACTCTGAAAAGTATGGTTAGCAGCACATTGTAAGACTTGTTTTAAAAACTAGCAGCTATTTTAAGGAAGCATTGTGAGTTTAAAAGAATTACTTATTCAGAAAGATTTCTTATAACTGGAACTCAAAAGAGGTATAGTGTTGGCAATACACCAAGTAGCAGTAAAAATTTACTAATCATCAAATATATTCTTATACAAGTTTCAAAATGTAAAAGAATCGTTGATAATTTCATTATTTGGGCTTACATCAATCTAGGGCGGTGCTATGGTAGAAAACAACACCGTTTGTTCCGCCGATCAGTGATGGTGTAGAACAGGTAACATACATAATAGGTTTAGAACCATAATCCCTTAAATACACACACGCAGAGAGAGAGAGAGACTGGTCATTTCATACTTACTGAAACATTTATAGACTTTTAGTACATCCAAGTGGAACTTCCCGATTAGCCCGTATTGGTGGAATAAGTGGACCAACAACACTGACAAAGAATGTCCTCCAGTGGCCACGTCAAGCGTAAAAGTGCTGAAGGCCCATTGCCCAGAACTTGCAATAAGACACTTGAAGGAAAGAAACAATAAGTGAAAAATGATATGATTCCATACTTTATATATTAAAAATACTCGCATTTATTTTCTATTTTGAAAAGGGTAGTGTAACAGTTCAAAATTTATTATATAAAATGTTAAGGATTTTGTTTTTAGTTTTTTAGCATATATACGTAACACAATGGCAGTATAAAACAAGACATCTCTCTTTACAACAAATGTATCTAGTCTGTAAACAAAACCATATGGTGACAGAAGGCTTTTATATGAGTTGTTGTGGATCTCTATAACATGAGTTTACATCAGTAAAGGCAAGTAAGGGCATTTTACTTGTCATTTAGACATGAGTTGTTGTGGATCTCTATGATATGAGTTTACATCAGTAAAGGTAACTAAGGGCATTTTACTTGTCATTTAGACATGAGTTGTTGTGGATCTCTGTAACATGAGTTTACAACAGTAAAGGTAACTAAGGGCATTTTACTTGTCATTTAGACATGAGTTGTTATGGATCTCTATAACATGAGTTTACATCAGCAAAGGTAAATGAGGGCATTGTACTTGTCATTTAGACACGAGTTGTTATGGATCTCTATCACATGAGTTTACATCAGCAAAGGTAAATGAGGGCATTGTACTTGTCATTTAGACATGAGTTGTTGTGGATCTCTATAACATGAGTTTACATCAATAAAGGCAAGTAAGGGCATTTTACTTATTATTTACACATGCGTTGTTGTGGATCTCTATGATATAAGTTTACATCAGCAAAGGTAAGTAAGGGAATTTTACTTGTCATTTAGACATGAGTTGTTGTGGATCTCTATAACATAAGTTTACATCAGTAAAGGTAAGTAAGGGCATTTTGACTTGTCATTTAAATAAATGCTGTTTTTGTAAGTGAGTAAATGAGAATTAAGTGCACTTTAGATTGTTACAGATGTCACCTTATGTCACTACATATATATACATTGTTTACCTTTCGCGGGTGTCGAAATATTAAGAGAAAAAGGCTGAAAATAATTTCAACGTGAGCCATTGCAATTATTAATTCTTGCATAGTTTCATGAGATAGTATTATGATCTTTTATCAAACAAACTAAGAAACTTCGAACTTAAAGACTGAGCTCGACGTCGGCGGAGGTATTTTGGTGATCTATTCAATAGATCGAGAACCGGAAATTCTTCTGTTACGAATGATTGGTAGTACGAATACTTAAGTCACAGATTTAACTCTAGCTATAGAATAGTGTACGAGTAACAAAGCGACAACATAAGAGAATAGAAATCCCCAGCATGGTTGACTACTCCCCTATACATATACTCGTTATGGTGTGGTAATATAGAAAATTATGTGATAGGAAACATATCTCAGTTGAAGTACAGGTTGATTAAATTACGTTTTTTCCAGTAGTAGACTAACTTATATAAATAACATTCAAAGTGGTTACTTTTATAAACCGTAACACGACACGACTATTAAGTTGTAATACACAAGTGTTGGTAGAGTCTGACTTCTACAAAAGCAACTCTATATCTCGTTTAAGCTGCTATTGCATGACTTCGATATCAGAAGAAACATTTTAATTCAATTTGAAAATGTAGCAAATTAAATGTAAGAAAAATTATCTACGTTCTTATTGAATAATGTTTACGAGTGTCATGTTTGACGGCAGGAAAACAACAACAAACAAATCGAGATGACGAATCTCTTAATGATAGCAATGATGCTATCTTAATTTGTAGCTTACTGATACCGTTTTTTTATTAATATATCTGTTTTTTTTCAAGTTTATGAAGTTTGGATTTGTTTTTATTTCTACAATAAGGCCACTTCAAATCACACTGATATAAGTGGCCGCACATGGTTTCTAACACCAAGTTGAAATGTTACTGTTTTAGTTCAGGCCATATTCTGATGCACTGAGCTTAGGAAATTAGAAAATACCTGTACAACTCCGTTGTAAGTATCGTCAAGGCCGTGTTGCTGGCAAATGTGTGGCTTTAGTATTGGTTGGTGGCGTCTAGATCGCTGTAAAGTTCTAAACTGACCTCTGAGACGATAACCTCTGACATCTAGGTTTAGGTCTAAAAGAAGAAAAATATAAGAAAACAATAATCTTTACACGGACAATAAAATTAGATTTTATGTCTAATCAGTTTTGTGGCCGTCACAGTAACCTTTACAAAGAAGTGACACTTGCAAGAAGAAATAAACCAAGGCAATAAATACTAGCAACATTGTTTGCAATATAAAGACATTCCGTAGGCTTCCTTGAATAGCATTCTCTTCTGCTGCAGTAACTGGGCTGAATTTGTCGTGGCTCAAGTCCTTTCAGTCTTTCTTGGCTCATTAAGTTTCTCTTTATTATTTTCAATTTGATTTTGTTTGTCTTCTATTAAACACTAAGCTGCAAAATGAGCTGCTGCTGCTGTGCCCACTGCAGGAAACAAACAGCGAATTTTAATGATAGAGGCTCTCAAGCTTACCGCCGATACATTGGAAGGTCATTTTATATTTTGAAAAATATATCTTTTAAACTCGCGATGGATTCTGGTAGCGTTAGAAAAAGCAACAAAGTTGACACACGTACACCTGAAGACATTAAACAGCATTTGACAATTAAGAAATAAGAAAAGTCTGCAACAAAAGTTGTATCAAAAGTGTCCTGATATAAATCTCATAGGAAAGAGACAAGATGCATGATGAAGACTAGCAAGGAATCACTTTAAGTATTTTTCTTACAGAACATCTATCGTCTTCATTACGTACGTATAAGTCACTCGCATACTAGGACTTGGCTGGTTCAGGAATAGCATATTTGTGTGCAACCGATTTCAATCTTAGGTCACTCGTAATGTTTAAGAGTCCTTCAACCGTCACTTTTGAGATAACTCCACAAAATTACATTTTTACTAGGCATACACACTTCACTTTCAAGTTTGGTTAGATGTTCAATGTTTTGGAGAGAACGATAACACCCTTTTTGGCTTCACTGATGTATTTGGAAGACTGCAAAAGAACCTCATTCAACACATCAAGAATTTTATTCAGAACCACAATTACGATCAGGAGCTCAAACTTTTACAATCTGCTCTTCAGATATTGATACTTCTTATTGCTAAGAACGTTAGTCAAGGCTTTCCCGATTTCTGAGTAAAGTTAATTCACACCCATCAAAGAAACAATTCAACCAGACATGTGATATGGTTTCTTTATAGTGGCCCCTGGTTCTTTATGTATATAATCCAACCATATCCCATTGATTTACGGTGAGGCTTAAAATCACGTAAAGTTCTTGAAGCACTGTTAGTAAAACAAACAACAACAACAACAAACTATTCACTTGTGTAACGCTTTTAAAGCGTCATTGATATACAAGTACACTTTACGAACTATGCGTTTGGCGATTTTTCATTAATTGCCTTCTGTATACCAAAGTGTTTCACATTCAAGATATCAGTTCATAAGGGTAATTTTTTCTCAATAAAGTTTAGTATAGTACTTCATTACGACTGGCAACAGCGCTCTAGGCTTAGCATGTCTTGGTGGCTAGAGTGCTCGACTTGCAACTTGCAGGTTTGAATTCCCGTCGTCAAACATGCTCGTCCTTTCAGCCGTGAATGCGTTATAATGTACGGTCAATCCCACTATTCGTTGGTAAAAGAGTAGCCCAAGAGTTGGAGGTGGGTGGTGTTGATTAGTTGCCTTTCCTCTAGTCTATCACTGCATAATTAGAAACGGTTAGTGAAGATAGCCCTTGTGTAGCTTTGTGCGAAATTCAAAAGAAACAAACATCGCTCCGGTCTTTAATTTGAAGAAACCCGAGAAATCTTTCGATAACGTTCACTTTCTCAGGTCTATCATTCCCACATCTAGTGAGCTGGACATAGAAGAACACTTGACTAGTCTATTTTTGAAATGTGTCTATCCATGGTAATGAAATAAAATCGTGTGGCTTTAATGTTACTCACAAGCTTACTTTCCAAGATTTTTGATAAAGCCCGTATCAATATATTCTGCATATTAAGACTTGGTTACTTCAGAATTTCGTCTAGCATGTTAATGAGTAGTTTAATTAGGATATTGAATTTAGTTAAAAGCAACATCTGTGACAAAATATTCACTGTTCACTTCATTGGTTTATTTTCGAATGACCTCTAAAAATTGAGAAATTTTTAACAAAATAAGAACCACTTTTAGCAGCCGCTGAAAAACTTGCGAGATACATTTGTTCGCTTCTTTGCTTCACGCTTCAGATTCTCGTCCACAGTTCAATGTTACCTCCACTACTCAAGGGCCATACACACGGCATTATACACACTAGAACATTAATAATTCTGCAGTTTCTATTCCAAGCACTTCCACTCACAGTATGTTATTGGAATGAATGGTTAGTAGGTTTGTTTTATTCGATAAAGAGACAACACGTTTCATAATCTGCTCAGTTTCGTTTTGGAAAGTACCATAATAATATGATTGATTGAGCTAACTCTAGCTTCATCGTGCTGCTGAAAATACATGTGTTTATAAACACGCATCATTTGTTGTTGTTTCTCTTGGGAAATGATTCATTTGGTTTGAAGAATCCATGTTCTATGATAAATATTTTCGTGTTTAATAGCAATAGGGGAATTTCTCCTGGAGGTTATGAGATCTATTGGAGCTGATGGTGTTATCGCATGTTTTTCAATGTGCCACAGTCTCCTTGTTAAGGACAGGATTTATCTCAGTTTCAACTATAATTCTGTATGATAGGTACGTTTGTCTCAATACTCAGGTAATGTTCTTGAAGTTCCTTAGTTAATTCTAGTTCTTTCACAGTTGCTGATGTTATGTCTGTATATTTACCTCCTCCATTTTGTTCTAACAGCTTTTTAACTGTAAATTAATTTCCCTTCTTTTCTCACAATTTTGAAAATAAAACCTTGTTATCCAAGTCTGAACTAACTGAAATGTCCTCTGAAATGTGATGTCGATTCATATATGACATCTTAGAAACTTGGCATCATGGAGTTGAAAACATATTCTGCTTTCTTGATTTTCTCAACAACTAAACACTTTAATATCGTTCTCACCTTAAATCAGACAAAAAGCACAAAATAATTACTTTTCATGGACACACTGGCTACGATTTAAGGAAAATGTTATCAAAATTAACGTGTATCGTTATTTTTTAACGTCCAAGGAAATAAAAAACAATAAGAACCTAGAATCAAAATCACACACGAAGCCAGGTCTTTCCATAAACAAGAGCGTAGGCAACGGGGGTTTGCTCTGCCACAAAACTGACCATGGATAACATATCATAACCTCATTATAATATGGTGCAAAAATAATGATAAAATACGGTATAAGAAATAATTTGTATAACAATACACACTTTACTAATAATAGGCTAAAAATAACAGTATTCATGATAGCTCATTTTCTTTGGTTAAAACAATATTAAGAAAATAAATTTAATAAAGCTATATTTATATTTATTTTTTATCAAAGCTTTTAAATAAGAATTATTTACATTACGTTGTGGAATCGATTCCAATTCAGGAATCTATTCTGGAACATTGGTTAGGTCTGAAATTTAACTTTAACGTAAGGATAAAAATTGTTTTTAGGCTAATTGAAAACATAGTGTACAAACACATGCCATAAAGAATGCTGCACATGTTACACACGAGGAACCGAACGAAAACCACTCTTGAGAATTTCAGAACATGTGAAGGCTGTTCATCGATGTCATACTGATTCGAGTGCTGTAGCAGAACATTACACGAAGTACCAATTAATAGAGATATTATTTCTGTAGACATTTTCTACTACATCTTTATTCAAACAGCAAAAGAACTATTTTTTTTTTATACAGAAAACCTACACCTAGAGATCAATCGGGAAGATGGCTTGGTTTGGTAATGATAGGTATAACTACAACTTTGTGTTTCTAAATAAACTTACGCGGATAATCGTAAATAACATACGTATATTTATTTAACACATATTAATTGCTAATCCATACCATTCGGAATATACATAAGTAAAATAGTACTGTCTGTTGTATGTTCATGTAACTACCTCGCATGGTGTGGATGGATCTTCAACCAAGTTGGTATGGAGGTTCATTAGACCCATGCGGGGATACATACAAATTTTCAGTTTTGCGTTTTGTGTTTTTTATGGGCGTTTTTACGTTTATTTAATTAACATCTTGTGGATGGATCTTCAACAAATTTGGCATGAAGATTTGTTGGGTATGTTAAACTTTCCAATGTATTTTAAACCTGAATACGTAATGTTGCATATCTGCTTGTTTGATAATTTCCGGTATAAATTCTTTCAGAGAAACTTCAGCGATAGAAGTCCATTCTTGATTAAAACTAGTTTATTCTTTGTCAATACAAACTTTGTAATACACTTAACAACG